TCCCCGGGAGGCTGCCAGAGGAGATTTTTGAGAATGTATGGGAAGGGGATGCAGGAGGAGGGACATCCACCCCTCTGTTTCCACTGACATCAGTGGACCCTATCTTGAATTCAATGCAAGCTTTTCATCAGGCAAGATGTATAAGCAGGTTGAGGGTGGGGAGGGTGAAACTGGCTTGATGGTGGAGTCATGGAGTCTGCATGGTCTCCATCTGGAATTAGGATGAATTGGAGTGTGGGGAGATCTGGAAAGATTCTAACTAAACATTAAGAGGAAGCTCCCGATGGTAAGAGCTCTTAGAATCATAGAATCATGGAGCTGGAAAGGGCCTATAAAGCCATCTAGCCCAGCCCCCCTGCTCCGTGCAGGAATAAAAATCAAAGTATTTCTGACAGACAGTTGTCCCATTTTCTCTTCAATGCCTCCAGCGATGGAGCACTCACCACCTCCCGAGGTAATTGGTTCCATTGTCCTGTGGCTTCCTTACTGTTAAGTAAGGAAGCTTTTCCTGATATATTCTAATGAAATCTGGCTTCCTGCATCTTGAGCCTATTATTATGTGTCCTGCACTCTCGGATGATTGAGGAGAGATCCTGACCCTCTTCTGTATGATAATATTTCAAGTATTTGAAGAGTGCTGGTCTTCTTTTTGGAAGGCCCAACATACCCAGTTCTTTCAGGGCTTGGTTTCTAGTTTCCTAATCATCCTTCTTGCTCTCCTCTGAATTTCTTCCAGTTTGTCAGCCTCCTTCTTAATGTGTGGTGTCAAAAAGTAGATGTAAAACTGCACTCTTTTTTTGTTAAATGTCATTATGTTGTTTTCAGCTCAGTGTTTGAGCTGATCAAGATCTTTTTTGAATTTTGTTCCCATTTTCCAGCTATTCCTCCCAGTTTTGTGTCATAGGAGAAGTCTACCATGCACCCCCTCATTAATAAAAATGTTGAAGAACACTGGGCTCGGGACTGAGGCTTGTGGAGCCCCCCCCTTGCTTGTTATTTCCTCCCAATTGGAGAAAGAGCCATTGATAACCATGATTCTATAACTGTGTATCTACTTAACACTTGTATTATCTAACCCTGGTCAAGGCAAAGAGGCAGACCCGAAACCAACAAAATCAGGGAGCTGGACAGGGGACAGATTGGATTTGTCTTCAGTGTGGAAGGGATTGTCACTCTCGAATTGGCCTTCTCTGCCACACTAGATGCTGTTCCAAGTCCTCCATACAGAGCACGTCACCATAGTCTCTCAAGACTAAAGGATGCCTAATCTAATCTAGCCCATATTTAAATTAGCCTGCCAATCAGAATATCATGGGACACTTCGTCAAATGTTTTGCTAAAACCAAGATACATTATGTCTTACAAAATTCCCAGAGAAGTTACCCGATCAAAAAATGAGTTAAGATTAGTTTGGCAGGATTTGTTCTGGACAAATCCATCTTGGCTTCTAGTTATTAATGCATTGGTTTCAAGGTGCTTTTAGAGTAACCACTTGATAATCTGCTCTGGAATTTTCCCTGGGATTGATGTCAGGCTGACCGGTGTGAGGTTCCCAGCTTCTTCCTTTTCCCCCTTTTTGAAGAAAGGGACAAGGTTAGCCTGCCTCCAATCATCTGGCACTTGCAATCCTGATATCCTTCAGGGTTTCAAGAAAATAATAGACAGCGGTCCCCTTTTCATTGAAGATCTAGCCACGTTGACTCACAAAGTCCCGTAGTGTCATTGATTTCATCCTAGCAAAGTGTACAAAACCGGTGTGGTAGTTATAGTAGCCTTGCCTCCCTAGTTTGTTTGCGTGCGTCTATCATTCTTATTATTCCTATATATATTTATATTTGCGCCGTCCTTGCGAAGCTTTGCCCGGCAGCCTCTCCAGGCGCTTATGCCGGGGAACCCCCTCTCAGAGGATGGGAGCCAATCAGGAGAGGGTGCGGCGCCACGTCATAGCCGAGGGGGGGGGCCCTTCTGTGGCGGGTGACCTCATCCGCGGCATCCCCCTCTGCCACGTGGGTCCCCAAGCCTGGAAGGCGTTTTCTTCCCCCCCAACCCTGGAGAGGGGGGGCAGAAAAGGAGGCGGGGAGCGCACGCCGAGCCCCCGGCACAAGGCTTTCCTTCCTCGCCCGAGGAAGATCCGTGGAAGGGGAGACCTTTCTCCCGGCCCCGTAGTGGGATTTTTTAAAGGGGGGGTGTCACATCGCCGCCGCCCCCCCCCTCAGTAGTGGCATGAGGCCTCGGGGAAGGCGATCCCCGGTCGGCGAGGGCTCCGGGCTCCAGCGACGCTCCCCGAAGGAGCGGACCTCGTCCCGCTTCACATCCCGGAGGGAGGGGACAAGCAAGCGCGGCTTGGATCCGGACCCAAAGGAGCCGGAAGGGGAGTGAAACAATGCCGTGGCTTCCGTCCAGGGGAAGCCGATAGTCATCTTGGAGCCCGGCAGGGCCAAAGCGGCGGGTGGGGGCGGGGGGGTGAGGGACGGCGGGAAGAACGCGCTTCTCCCAAGCCAGGGTCCCTTTGTCCTACCTCCTGGGAGGGGAAGGAAGGAAAGGGGGGGGGAGATTCATGAGCAACTGCCACGTCGGTCTCCGGAGGCCCCCCCCCCTGGAGAAACCCCCAGTCCAAGGGGGATCACTTTTCTGCGATTGTCACCAGAAGCCCAGAGGGCAATCTGGGTCCCCCCCCTTTCCATAGGGTGGCTACCAGGTGGGTTGCGGCGGGTGTGAACGGGGCCAAATCGAACCCACCCGAGCCTGCTCGCACGTCTCGTTGAACTCAGTGGGACTTCATTCCCCGTCGAGTTCAGTGGGGCTCGCTCCCCATTGAGATGGTTTTCTTCAGCTCCCTATGTGCCCCGCCCAAGTTTGCCTTCCCACCCCCAACAGACGGGACCGTCTCGCCTCGTGCATCTCCAGTCGCATCCCACCCGCCGCCACCTTGGCCAACAGCGGGTCCTCCTCTCACAGGTATGGATCCTTTTAGGGAGGGGCGATCAGATCCCCCCCCCCAAACTTCACAGGGAAACCCTGCGATCCTGTAGTCGCGTCCGTTATTTCCTCGCGTAATCCGAGCGGCCCTACTCTCGCCGGTAGGGTCGGAACTTAAGGACCTTCTACTGAGAGAGAACCAAACCCCCCCCCTCCAAAGTGGATCAGGGCCCGCTTGGTTCATTGAAAGGCTTCTGGAATCGGGCGCGCCTCAGGTAAGCGCTTCTTGGTCTCACTTAGCAGGACACGGACGCAACAGGTCTGCGTTCTGCACCCAAGAGACCAGGGGGGGGGGCAAAGGTTTGGCCATAAGGGGCACCGCCCACCTGCCCCCCCCAAGCCCTTCCCCACCAGGAATAGGGGGACAACGTGTACTCCCGCCGTGCAAGGGAGATGTACAAATAGACAAGCATCGCTGGTGCGCCTTGGCTGACACCGCCCTACCAACGCCCCGCTGGGCACACCCAGGCACGGCATCAAGAGACCTGTGACACCTCGAAGGTTGCCAAGTGGCACCACTTTTCCTGAACTGGAGCCCACGACTACTTCCCACAGGACAGCAGTCCAGAGATCTCTAGGGGATCCCCAGAAGATTCCTCCTGAGCCACCCTCGGCACTTTTTTAAAAATTGGTTAAAAGACGGGATGGTATCAATACAACGATTCACTCAAGCAGTCAATGAATCAGTGTAACTCGGAAAAGCCAGTGTTTCGTTTTCTCTTGTCAACCTTCTTGGGCGATTCTGGTGGCGTCTCTGGGAGCCGTCCATCTGTTGCGCCGGCGCGCACACGCATGTTTAATATATCTGGGAATCCGACACCCTTCTTACACCCCCTCTCCTCCTTCTCCTCCTGCTTCTGCCTCTTCCCATGCTCCGGTCCCACCCCCTCTGCGATGGGGGAAAAAGCGGAGGGCGTGGCAAAGTCACGTTTCATGTTTTTACAAGTGTCTTAATAGCTGCACTGTATGCAGTCCAATTTTTTTTTTAAACCAAAAATTGCAATCCTGACTTCCGGGATATTACCGCCTCTGAAAAGCTGGAAGGAGATCAAGGTCTTCTAGTCTCTTAAAATGCCTTTATGACTTAGGTGCATAGATACATACATACGTACATTAGGAAAAAGAAGCGACTCCACCGCTGTTGCACAGGGCTATGAGCTCCCAGGGAAGGAACTTACTCCTGAGTAGCCACAGCGATCGCTACAGCTCTCCCACCAAGTATCACGAGGACATCACAGAGAAAAGGGGCCACATTTTAGCTGCCCCTTCCTTTCTTTTTCGCCCCCCCCGGGTCTACTCAAGAGGATGGCCTCTCTAAGGACAGAACCCTGGGGCTCGATCCTCCATCGTCATGAGAGAACCGTGGAGATCGCAGCGTGAATCCCTCAACAAAATTGGGGAAGAGACGGGGAGGAAGGGGTTAAAATGACATGCAGGGGATTTTCAAAAGGGTCGGATCCGGGGCTCCTCGGCACCATTCGGTTTTTAAAGGAACAGAAGCGGAACTCGACATCCTAGCCACGTTTACTTGGAAGTAAATGCCACCGAGTCACTCTTACTCCCAAGGAAACATGCACGGGAAACGTTGATTTATACCGGCTGGATCGCAGATAATTCGAAAGTTAGTACACTCTTAGGTCCGAGAAACGTGCAAAGGTAGTCAAGGTGCGCCATTGAAGCAGGGATAATAAAGATAACAACATTATTTAGGGCGCTTATGTTGGGAGCATACATTACAAAAAAGAAAGAAAGAAAGAAATGAAAAAAGAAATTGAGCTTCCAGGGGAGCCAGTACTGTATGTTTATAGAGAGGCCTACTCGTTCCCAACATCTAGCCTGGATATTCATTCCCCTACAGTCACACGGGCGGGGATGGACCCCCAAACCAGCCCCACCTATGAGACGGGATGTGAAGGTTCCCTGATTTTCTCACACTAGGATGCCACGGACACCAGATTGCCTAAGAAATCTTGAAATGTGCCACTAACAGCAAAAGAAAGCGGGAGCGCAGGACAACTCACCTTGTCGCCCCGCTGGTGGCCCTTGGCTCATCCACGATCTGAAAAAGCAGCCGACGGGGGTGCCGTGGGGTGGGGATCTGGTGGCCTCCCAGCTTGAGGTAATAGATCAACTCCCGTTCTCCGGAGGGATTGTGAAAGGGCTGGCGACAAGCCGCCTCAAAAGCATGGGCAAAGGGGAGCGGCGGGAAGGGGTCCTTTCTAGCCCCTTCCCCAACCTGGGTCCCACAGATCTCTCGATGTGGATTCCCCCGGCTTCTCCGCCGTCGCGCACTCCCCACCACCACCACCACCACCACGACACCCTAGAAATAACGGGGACTTCCAGATCCCCCAGAGAGATCGAGAGATCTGCTCAACGGGGGACTTGTCTCGGGCGAAGCGGGCTTCCAGACGGCCGTCGCC